AAAAAAAAAAACAAAAAAAACTATTAGAGATTGAAATAAATTTAAAGGCAAGCAGAAATTTTCAAGCTTCAGCTGATATTTTTAGCAATGACGCTAGACAGAGATATGTATATATATATATATATAAGAGAGAGAGAGATATATATACATATACATTTATGAGTTCTAATGAATTTCAATTTCAGAAGCTGCAACTAAATCAAACTGATAACAAAAACAAAGTGTCTCTCTCTCTTTCTCTCCTTGTGTGTGTGAGAGATGCCTGATAACCCAATTTCTTGAGGCTCTTTAAGCGCAGCGAGCACAACAATCAAATAATCGCTTTAATTTACAAAGTTACAAAGTAATTTACACTGTTGCTGTGCCCCAGACACACAATATATGTATATATTCATATATCACTCATACGACATGTTGCCCATATCTTTTAGTCGCTCGCATAATTTCCGCATTCAGTTGCAGATAAATAAATAATTGAGTCAAATTGAAATGCAGCGCGCCAAACAATTTTCAACAAATTGCAGCACGCAAATAAACTTCAGTCATAATGAAAGGCGTGTCTTGTTGTTGTGTTAGTTCTACTTCATCTTGTTCTTGTTGTTCTTGTTGTTCTTGCTGTTACTTGGGGGGCCCCGTTATGTCTGCAGCTGGTCAGTGATTTATGCGCTTAGGGTCAGCCTAAGGACTGAGCCTGCCATTTGCCATAAACAAAGCGCAAGCAAGTGGAAGTGGAACAGCAGAGTGAGAGAGAGAGAAAGAGATTCTGTGCTGCACTGTGGGCCAAATGAGCTTAAGAATTTATTAGAATTAGAAATATTTATAGTTTTACAGTCAATACCTTTGCAGTTTAAAAGTCTACAATCAACATTTTAAAAAAGCTGTGTAAGGATTCCAGAGGCTCAACTGTATATATAGATTATTAAAACATTTTATGCACAGAAAAATTAGAAAAATTCATATTCAGTTATTCAAATTATTTATATAAATAAATATATAATATTTTTTTATTATAAAACATATACTTTACTATTTTTTATACTTTTTTGTGTCTATCTATCTGAATTTTCATATACCAAAAATCAAAATTTTCCCAGGGTGCCTTAGGAGCTTTAGTAAATCAACAATAAAAAACTTTCAATTCCAATAAGAAATGAGGCAGAGCGTCAAAGACAGCCGCAGCTGCGCAGCCGAGCGCTGTGCTCTTTCTACTGTCACTGCCCTCTGCGCTCTTTCATCCTCCCTCACCCCAACAACATTTACCAATCACTTGAGCTGCTAATTGTCGGCAGTAGAAAAGAACTCACACATACACGCGTGCACACACAGTGCATAAGAAATTTCCCTATTAAAATGGGCTTGAAATGTTGTTATTGTTGTTGTGTTTTTATAGGCAGATGCTGCAGCCGTTGTTGCTGCTGATAAAGTACATTTATCAAAATTCATTCATAGAAAAGAGGCAGTCGCAGTCGACATTTGCGTCGGCATCAGCACCGGCACTAGCAGCAGCAGCGGCTAAGTGCAATCGCTACGAACTCTCATACACACACACTTGTTGTGTGCGCGCGCGCTCTTAAATGCGCAACGAATTACTCTTTTGTGCGCTGCGCGCTCTTCAAATGCAATGTGTCTGCCTCTGTATGCGTGTGTACTTGAGAGACGGAAAAGGAAATCACATTTCTGTTAAATGTAGCGCGCATAAAAATTCTTATTGGCAAATGCAAAAACCAGTTGGCGCACAGTTCGACAGTCACTGCGCAGCGCAAGCCAAACAGTAGCAAAAGCAAATAAACGCTTATTAATAAATAAATAGAAATAAATAGGAGAAATAATCAAGTTTTAACGTTTTTGTGGTTTTTTCCATTGCTTTAGCCGCAAGACTTTGACGCTCTCACTTCAACAGTTGCAACAATTGCAGCCACGGCAATTGCAATTTCAATTGCAATTGGAGTTCTCTGCGAAGTACCATGGCATTGACCACGTAACCGAGTGCGAAAAAAAGTTCAGATCAAATTACAATTGCCATCAAATGCGGCTCCCGCAAACACGTGAGTTGGCTACAACAAAATCAAAGAAGAAAAACTGGCTTAAAGTGTAACTTATTCTTAATGCTTTTTGCCTTTCTTTTGCTTCTTTGATTTTACGAGTGTTAATTCTACGAGACTTCAAAATTTCAGATATCAATTTTGCAGTCGTGAGAATATTTTCAATTTGCCCTGAATTTCAGCTGAGAAACGTTTCTTTGCTAATTGAGTTTCTGAGTTACGACAGCTTGGGCTTTGCCTTCACTGGTCAATCACTCAATCACTCAGTCAGTCAGCCTTACATTTAATCTGCTGGAGCATAACAGTTTGATGTATATTGACTGATATATTGAAACGTCATCCTGTCAACAACATTATCTGTTTTGCTTATGTAGAGTAGCTTCTTGTCTTATAGCTTGAATCAATCAACTGCTAAGTGCATCAATCAATCAATCATTTTGACGTATATTGATAGCAATATCCATAAAAACAATGTTGATGACGAATTAAACCTTTTGTTTTATAATAAGTTCCATAAACTTGGTCAATCAATCGCTCAATCAATCAATCAATGTAAATACTTTGCTACATATTGCTTGTTCTAGTCTTATATATATCGGAAACTTCATTTAATACAAATTAGTAGTGAATTAAGCTAGATTGGATCAAGCAGTTCAGATCAATCAATCAATCGCCCTGATGTATCGCCTCTGTAACAATTGCTCCACTCAAGCAAAGCTCTTGTGTTCACACACATGATGTGATTCGCGCTCATGGCGCTTTCATCAATCAATCAGTCAGTATAAAGTACCTCTACATATATAGTTATATATGTATATGTGTATAATCTACAGATTACTGCTGCTTTTGGCATGTTGCTCTGGCAAATGTCATGCTTAGGCGATAGCCTCTGCCTCCGGCTCTGGCTGTGGCTCTAGTTGTGGTTGTGTCTCTGCTCGTTGGCGACACTTTAGAAAAAAATTCTATTTTGAGTTCGATTCGATCCGATTCAAAGTGTCGCAATCAGCGATGCGAAGTCGGCTACACATGCTATCTATAGTCAATGCCGCCAACATAGCAATAAACCTAATTAAATTCCAAAGATTTCGATTTAGTTTGTTCTGCTGCTTCTTCCTCTTATTGTGCTTCTTCTTTCCTTTCTGGCTTCTGTCTCGCTTGATAAGCAGCTCAAATCAGAGCAACATAACAGACTTGGCCTTAGCATAGGACCCGAAAATATTCAGATGACGAAATCGAATCTCGACTCGAAATAATCTATTTGGCATAAGCCGATGCTAAGCTTGAAACAGCCAAGAGTGCCCGACTTCCTAATACTCGTCCGTGATAGGGGAGTAGCAGTAGAAGTCTATTCTGGGCGAGGCTCGGCTCAATAGCAGACAAGCTGCCAACACCTCTTGGAACTCAGGCAGATGTGGCTATATCCGCTTTGCGGTTTTATTTTTGGTCAACCTTCGGAGTTGATATGCAGAAATTAAGCTGTCAAAAGTTCAAGTTTATAGCTATATAGATTATCAGTCGGGGTTCATATGCACTAAATTTCCAGTTTCTAGTTTCAGTAACAACTCAAATACAGTCCAAATTCCAAGCTCTGATCCTAAATATATTTTGACAGCGGCTCAAAAGTTTTTAGAAAAATGTTGCATAAACCCAGGGGCAAGGTAGAAAACCTAACAAATTATAAATATATATAAACTGAAAACTATATAAAAATATTAAAAATATATAATATTAATTTTTAGTTAACTGTAGTTTTGAGCTCAAAAACTGTTTTTGTTTTTGATAAAATAAATTAATTTAAAAAATTGCAAATTTCAAATCTCTTTTGTAAAATCTATAAAACTTAAAAAAAATTCTTTTTAAAATATGAATTATGCAAAAGGCTGATTTAATTTTTTTTTTTAATTTTATTTTGATCAAAGAGTTAATTATATTAATAATTAGCTCTTATATAAACATATATAAAGAAGCTTATTTCAGTTGAAATTTGGATTTATTTTTAAATTCGAATTGCTAACCGGAAATATTCAATGACAAATGATTTGATTTTTTTTTTGTTATACAATGTACGAAGCATAATTACTTTTGGAAGAAGGAAGATGACAGGGACCCATTGGGGTTATCAATGAGTGATAAGAGCACGCGTTAACCTTTCCCCGATTGCCAAATCTGAATCTGAAATTAATCTGCGATGACATAATGGAAACTAGAACTCGAATCCATTGAACTGCTCCGAATGCAGCAGAAGGGGACAGCGTCACAACAAAAACTCAACTCGAAAGGGTTTATCAAGCTGAATTACCGGAAATAAAATGTGCTATAGACTCGAAGAAATATATATATATATATCGAGGGGCCTTTTGTTTCGGTTGATTGCATGTTACACAGCTGACCTAATTTCAGCTTACATATATCTATATATATTAATATAATATATCTATATACCATATACGCATTTAGACATGTTTTGCAGTTTGAAAGCAACTGCTTATGATTAGTTATGAATCAGTAAACAATCTCTTTTTCAAGGGAATTGCTCTCATACGGTTTGGCAGCCATTGCTTGTATACAGTTTGAATAGCATTGACTGAGGCTAGATAGCTAAATATATAATATCTATATAAAGGAAGTGCAGTTTTAAAAGCACTGCTTCTGTAAAGTTTTAATAACACGGAGGCAAGTTAGAAAATTGCTCGACTACAGTTTTACAGTCATGGTGTGTGCAAAGTTTGAATAGCATTGGGTGATGTAAGGTCTTAAAGGTAAAGGACTTACAAAACTCCACTATTAAATAAAACTTAAGTTTTAAAGTGCTAAAATTTATGACAAACAGTTTTACATGCATTGTTTCAACTTCTGCAGTTGTTTGCACTAAATGAATATAATAAAAAAATGGTTTGTTAAAATTATATGAAATATTTAATTTGTTTAGTATTTTTTGTATTTCCATATTTTACATACCTTTTCCGCATTAACAAAGGACACAACGCTGGCTAACAGACAGACTGCGCCGAGCACACCCGAGAGACCCGTTAGATCTCTGGGCAACAACATCATGGTCCTCAGCCTGACCACAAATCGAATTGAAACTCGAACTGGAACTGGAACGGGAACTGGGGACAAACTTAAAATGTCACTGCGATAAACACACACGAAACTGCGAAAAATCAAAACATTGGAACAGTGAATAAGAAACCGTTTTTTTGTTATTTTTTTAGAAATTTTTTTGTATATACAATTTGTTAGAGTCTGATTGGTTTTCTATTAAGTATATAATTATATTTTTGGAATATTTGATATTTTGCATTTAAATTTGCATTTTTATTGGCGAACTAACACAAAAAGCTGCTGCTGCGTGCGGGTTCGCCACTTGATTTGCTGTTGTGCTGCTGCTGCGTTCGTCGAGCACGACACACTCCCCACATGTGGCGATCGTCAAGCGTTCAAAATGCTACTAAAATCGCCCGGCACAAAAGAAATTTCAGTTCGTTTGTACATAGCGTCGGCGTTCGGCTACGCCTCGGCTACTGTTCGGTGCACGCACACACGCTCAGCTACCATTACGTTTGTGTTGGTGCGTTTCGTTTGAAGCGTTTGTTCGCTTTTAGCAGAATGGGCGGGGTGCGGGCATTGGTTATTGGTTGGTGCACAGCCTGTTGAATTTAGCACTTTGTTGCCTTGAAATGAGGAAACGACGACAACAACAGCAACAATTTCCCTCCACATTATAATTTCCCTACTTAGCTACTTAGTTTCTTGTTATTGTCGTCGTCGCAGCAGCCGTCAGCCGCCCAGTCCGATTAGGCAAAGGCTATTTTACATTTAGTACAACATTCTGATAAGACCGCTCACGCTAAGGTTGCGTATTTCCTGTTCGACTCATGAAAACTCAGCTTGTTTTGTTCTTCTTCATTCTTTTTAATTAATTAGTACGCAGATTTAACAAAAATAGAACTTTACGAAATATACACTTCGTATACTTGAGGTCAGTTTTGAAACGCACAAAGCACAATCAAGGCTTTTGTGCGTTGTGTAAGATTCGATTGTTAAATGCCTTAGCATGCATAACATAAAGTAGGGTGTAAAAGGGGTGGGAGGTAGTGGTAGTCTATGTACGTTGACCCACTAGTCTCAATTGGCAGTTTTCAATAAAGTTGGTTTACACAATTTCCTAGGAAATTAGCTGACTTAACTTAGGGATATTTCGGTTTTATTTCATATGCGAGACATTTCATTATAGATCTTAAGTTTTTTAATTTTTCTTAAGTTAATTTTAAATATAATCCAATTATTCTTGGATTTTTATTTATAATAATAATCTTACAATATGCTAAAAATTTCAATTCGATATATGAAATATTGAAAGAGAGAAATTTCTAATTTAGTTTATCAGCTAAAGATTTTAAGATTTTTAAATATTTCTCAAGTTTTTTTCTTAGAGTAAATCTCTTTTAGTATAACTCAAAAACCAATAATTTCATATATGAATTGATATCAGATTCACATTTCTCATTTACCTTTTAATATAAAATGATTTTTTACTTACAAAAACGTATTTAAAAACTATTATATGTAAAATTTAACATACCTAATATTTTATTAATAGATCACGGATCATTAAAAAAAATAAGAACTGCAAAAAAATCCCCTCTAATCAGAGATTTATAAAAATTTAGTTGACAGTTGCTTTGACCAAAAGACCTGAAAAACAATCAAACACTGCGAAAAATTAAAAAAAAATAAACAATTTGTAAAAAATTAAAAAACTTAAGAAAACACTTGATGAAATATTATTTTCATAAATTTAAATAAAGAAAAACATCATTAATTTTGTTTCATAAATTTAGCTTGCATCTATTTCTCGCAGTGTAACCACGAGGAGGACTTCGAATTTAGCACACGCTGCTTAAGTTATGCCGGATCGAGCCCTAATCAGAACTTCAATGGCAATAGCAATAACGGAACTCATGTACCCGATCTTTCCAATTGGGCTATCAGTCCCAATTGTGATTCAAGTTGTCGCCGTCGAAGTAGGTGTTCGAAAGGGGGAAGTAAAGGCAGCTTCGAATGGAAATGCTCTAAGTGGAAGCATAACTCATATCGATCCACTCCAACAACAACTACAGATGGAGAAATAATACATATGTGTGATCGACTGGGAAATACCCTAGCAAAAAGTCAAATATTCTTTACCCATGTCTAATTGGTCATTTAAATCTTTTGCTCTCTTAAGTCTATATGAACAGATTGTAAAATAAATATCCCACTGTTCTTTATCATTCCATTCCATTTAATTTAAAATAAAAGAGTCAAATTTCAGTGATTCTGTGTACTTTGAATTTATTTTCCATAGCCACATCCATTTTCCATACACCCCGTTTTCTATCAATACATTTTCAATGGGCATTTTCTATGGCAAAGAACAAAGAACAACAACTAAGTTAAGTAGCCGACTTAGTTTCAAACTTATCGCCCAGTTTCATTCATATTCATATTTCAGTTGGGTTAGCTGGCTCACTTCATTGCTCTTGTTGTTGTTGTTGCTTCACCCATCCGTTCCACATGCTCCACACACGCACACACTCACACAGCGGCGCTGCGATTCACACAGACGACACGGATAGCGTACGTGAGCCGAACAGCGTTTGGCGCTCGTCGCTCTTCGCCAGACCCATTCGGCTCAACGATCGTGCATGGGCCGTGCATTGGGTTTTTGGCTGGATGGAAGCTTATACTATAATTAGTCGTGTTTCGTCTTCTCGAGTAAGTAGGCTGCTTGCTTCTGTCTTTCAGTCTTAACTCGCCTGCTGGCTGTGCTGTGCTGTGTGTAGCTCGCGCTCTCGCTGCTGTGTGATTCGTTCAGTACGCTCCAGTCGATCCATAAAGTTGGATCACTTTTCTTTCTGTAAGCAGGAGCAGACCAGAAAATCAAACCAAAAAAAATATAATACAAAAAATTATTGAATCATACTAAAAAAAATCGAAACGCTTCTGACTTAAATTATATTCAATATAAATTATAAAGATTAATAAATATTTATTCAAGGCGATTCTTTAGTTAGGCGAAACACATTGACTCTCAAACTGTGCTTCGATGCCTGAACTTAAACTAAAACAAGAAAAATAAATTCAAAAATTTTTGTAAAACCAATTTCTCGACAACTTTCAAGCACACACAGCATATTTTAGCAACCAAAAAAGTTCTTTTTAAGATTTTCCTCTACAGTACCTAATTTTATAGTGCCTACTTTTCTGCCATTTACAGGCCAAGCGACGGCAAAACATAATTTTAAGTCGATTAAGGACAGCAGGAAATAACTGTGCAGCCAGAGTGCAAAGGGCATCATGTTGCCCCATTGGAAGCGGTAAGTAACTGTATTACACAAATAAAAAAATTTGAAAAAAAAAAACCATAAAAATTCACACTCATTCAAAATTCATTGCAAAAATGATATGCTCTTGCAATGGCTTTCAAACTGTGCACTGCCTATGCCGCTCAATGGCTGTCAAATATGTGCTCGACTTACTCACACAAACGCACATTTGACGAGCCGTTTATCTCTACCGTTCTCTTAAACAGCGTTGCTCTTAACGCTGCCCGCGTTCTCTTTAACACGCGCGCAGGCACACACGCGCTCTCAAGATAAGCGGCTTGACATTTAAATTTGTGAACGAAACGGAACGTTATCAAGTGGAACATAAGACTTGGACAGTGTTGTTAGAGTAGTTAGATAAATAATTTAAATTATATATATTTATATATATATATGTATATATATATATATATATATCTTATATATAATTTATTTATATATATTTTTATTTTGTGCACAGCTTGTCTTTCTATCATCCGTTAATGCGTCCGTCTCGCTCTTCGTCTGTTCGTCCATCCGTTTTCCTGTCCGTCAGTCTGTTTGTCCGTCCATATGATCCCAAAATGATTTCGATGCTATTGAAACTTGGATAGACATACAGATAGAGGTAGAGATAGAGATAGAGATAGATATAGAGATAGAGATAGAGATAGAGATAGAGATAGAGATAGAGATAGAGATAGAGATAGATATAGATAGATAGAGATAGAGATAGAGATAGAGATAGAGATAGAGATAGAGATAGATAGAGATAGAGATAGAGATAGAGATCGAGATAGAGATAGAGATAGAGATAGAGATAGAGATAGATAGAGATAGAGATAGAGATAGAGATAGAGATAGAGATAGAGCTAGAGATAGAGATAGAGATAGAGATAGAGATAGAGATAGAGATAGAGATAGAGATAGATATAGAGATAGCGATAGAGATAGAGATAGAGATAGAGATAGAGATAGAGATAGAGATAGAGATAGAGATAGAGATAGAGATAGAGATAGAGATAGAGATAGAGATAGAGATAGAGATAGAGATAGAGATAGAGATAGAGATAGAGATAGAGATAGAGATAGAGATAGAGATAGAGATAGAGATAGAGATAGAGATAGAGATAGAGATAGAGATAGAGATAGAGATAGAGATAGAGATAGAGATAGAGATAGAGATAGAGATAGAGATAGAGATAGAGATAGAGATAGAGATAGAGATAGAGATAGAGATAGAGATAGAGATAGAGATAGAGATAGAGATAGAGATAGAGATAGAGATAGAGATAGAGATAGAGATAGAGATAGAGATAGAGATAGAGATAGAGATAAGATAGAGATAGAGATAGAGATAGAGAAGAGAGATAGATATAGATAGAGATAGAGATAGAGATAGAGATAGAGATAGAGATAGGGAGATAGTAGATAGATAGAATAGAGATAGAGATAGAGATAGAAGAATATATAGAGATAGAGATAGAGATAGAGATAGAGATAGAGATAGAGATAGAGATAGAGATAGAGACAGAGACAGAGATAGAGACAGGCATAGAGCATATATATACATATATATATATTATAAACCAATTCTCTTTTATTTTGAAGGCTGCTGTTCGCCGCTGTAATTGCTGGAGCATTAGTTGGTACAAATGCTGTAAGGAAATTGAATGGAATTTCATTGTTTGTGTAATTATTTTTATGGTTATTTTGTGTTTAGCAATTTTGGACGAATCCAGGTGCAACGGGCTCCATCCATGAGTCGCTCCGTCACCACTCACGAGATGATCCTAGAGACACGTTTACCATCGATGAAAGTTACGATATTGTAGATTCGGCGAGCGTCCAGCGGGGCGTACCTTTGCCAAAGAACTGTACTGCTGGGTATGCGGGCTGCGTGCCCAAGTGTATTGCCGAGAAGGGTAATCGTGGTTTGCCCGGACCCGAAGGTCAGACAGGACCGAAGGGTCTGACAGGTTATGCGGGCCCAGAGGGTCCGCCCGGTGACAAAGGTCAGAAGGGTGATCCAGGTCCATTTGGATCAAGAGGTCAAAAGGGTGAGCGAGGAACAAGTGGTATGCCTGGTCTTCCAGGTGTTGCTGGCGTCCAAGGCCCAGCTGGAAATCCTGGCGCACCGGGTCTCAATGGTAAGGATGGCTGCGATGGCACCGCCGGCTTGCCCGGTATTCCAGGTCTATCCGGCATGGTTGGTCCTCGCGGTTACTCCGGTGCACCTGGTCCCAAGGGCGACAAAGGTGAACCAGCCAAGGAGAATGGTGACTATGCCAAGGGTGAGAAGGGTGAGCCCGGTTTTGCCGGTCGCGCTGGTTCCCCCGGACCTGAAGGACAACGCGGTGAAAAAGGCAAGCGTGGCGACACGGGACCATACGGACCACCTGGACCCCGCGGTGACCGCGGTATCAAGGGTGAGAAGGGTGCTGCATGCTTTGCTACGGCCATGCCTGGCGAGAAAGGTGACAAGGGCGAGAAAGGAGATCCAGCTCCGAAGCTACCCGTTCATGGCTCCGATACGGTTATGGGACAGCGCGGCGATGTTGGCCAGAAAGGTGAAATTGGCTTTATGGGCGAGAAGGGTGGACTGGGACCTGCCGGCGAACCAGGACTTGATGGACCGAAGGGCGAGAAAGGTGTGCCTGGCTTCGTTGGAGATCGAGTAAGTCGTTTAAAAAGCGCGAAACGAAAGTCATATCGAATCTAATACCATATCTTGTAGGGTCGCCCAGGTAACTTTGGACCGACAGGACCTGCTGGACAGAAGGGAGATCGTGGTGAGACGGGTCTAAACGGATTGCCTGGATTGCCTGGCATGAAGGGTGAGCCAGGACGGCCGGGTCAATCGGGTGAACGCGGCTTGGTTGGTCCGGCAGGACCCCCTGGTGGTGGACGCGGCCAGCCGGGCGCTCCAGGACCCAAAGGACCTCGTGGCTATAGAGGTCTGCCTGGCCCTCAGGGCCTCAATGGTATGGACGGTCCTCAAGGACCTCAAGGCTACATGGGTCCCAAGGGAGGTCCTGGCCTGCCTGGACAACCTGGCAATGAAGGTCCTTCCGGACAGAAGGGCGAAAAGGGTATTCCTGGATTCGTTGGCTCTCAGGGTCCAGTTGGACCAATCGGTCAAAACGGTCCACCAGGACTTGACGGACAAAAGGGTGAACCCGGCTTACCGGGCTATGGCATTCAAGGCCCCAAAGGAGACGATGGCATCAATGGGTATGTCGAGCTTAAGCCTACGTGGACTTACCATTGATTATTCCTCTTTCTTTCTATAGCTACCCCGGCCAGAAAGGCTCTAAGGGTGAGCGAGGCTACAAAGGCAATGCTGGTGTTCCCGGAGATTCCAAATTAGGCAGACCTGGTGCACCCGGTCAAGCAGGTGCTCCTGGCCCACAGGGTGATGCTGGTCGTCCTGGCATACCCGGTGACAAGGGTGACATGGGTCCTAAGGGTGATGCAGGTGGCAAATGCTCATTGTGCCCACCCGGGTCGAAGGGAGACAAAGGCGAACGAGGTGTGGACGGCATTCCTGGCAATCCTGGTGCTCGCGGCCCACCCGGTGAACGTGGCTATGCTGGAGAGCGTGGTGACGACGGCATTATTGGACAAACAGGACCTCCTGGCGAGAAAGGACTCGATGGCTTCCCCGGTGCACCCGGTGCAACAGGCAAGCCTGGTAATTCGGCTTTTGTTAACTGGAGTCAAATTATCCCAGAGAAAGGACCTAAGGGAGAGCCTGGATATCCAGGAGCCGCTGGTGTTAAGGGCGAGCGTGGTGATAGCGGAATACCTGGCGCACCTGGCCTTAAAGGCGAAATGGGCGTCAAGGGTGAGAAGGGTTACGTGGGCCAAGCGGGCGCAGATGGTGCTCCTGGCAGTCGCGGACGTGACGGTGTTGATGGCTTCCCTGGACAGAGCATCAAGGGTGAACCAGGTCGCCCCGGCTTGGATGGCTTGAAAGGTGACAAGGGTACCTCTGGATATGTAGGACCAAAGGGTGAACCGGGCACTTGTGCGGCTAGTGAACTGAAAGTGCCGATGAAGGGCAACAAAGGCGACCGTGGTGGCACGGGCATGCCTGGACCAAATGGACCAATGGGCCAAAAGGGCGACATTGGCATTCCTGGTGAGAAGGGTTCGACAGGTCCCCAGGGTCCACCTGGCTTAGTTGGTCCTCGCGGAATAACAGGACCTCGCGGCGAGAAAGGCAATCCTGGTCAATATGGTGCGCCCGGTAACGATGGCAAGAACGGACTTCGAGGACCACCTGGTCGTTATGGTGAACGTGGACAAAAGGGAGAACAGGGCGCCACTGTGGTTGGACCACCAGGTCCTGCCGGTCGTGATGGTTTGACAGGCGAGAAGGGAGATCGCGGTCCAGTTGGTGCCAAAGGCATGATCGGACCTATTGGCAACCCTGGCTATCCCGGAGACAAAGGTGATTCCGGTTATCCTGGTCAACCTGGTGCCACTGGCGCTCTTGGAGAGAAAGGCGAACCGGGCCCAATTGGTCCGGAGGGTCGTCCTGGCCCACCTGGTATACCCGGAATTGCTGGTGTCCAAGGTCGTGACGGTGCCAAGGGAGAGATGGGCAGCATTGGTCTCGTCGGCATGCCTGGTTACAAGGGCGAACGCGGTGCTCCCGGCAATGATGGTCCTAAAGGCTTAACTGGCTTAGCTGGTGCTCCCGGCAAGCGCGGTCCACCTGGGGCTGCAGGAATTCCTGGTAAGTCCTTAAGCACTGAATCCAATACGAATGTTCATATTCACACATTATCAACATGTTCCATTAAGGCATGAAGGGCGACAAGGGCGCTCGCGGCTTGACTGGCAACAATGGTCTTCCCGGTGCTCGAGGCCCCACTGGACCACCCGGCATGATGGGTGTTAAGGGAGATATAGGACCACGTGGTCTGCCCGGACAGGATGGGTTAAATGGTCTGAACGGAGAGAAGGGTAACCAAGGTCTTCCTGGTTTTGATGGACCTCAGGGAGAGCCTGGCGATGCTTCCGAGAAGGGACAGAAAGGTGAACCTGGTGTCTCCGGACTGCGTGGTCAAGACGGTCTACCCGGTGCTCCTGGACAGCCAGGCGAGAAGGGTTTGCCTGGTATTGCTGTGCATGGTCGACCAGGCCCACAGGGCGAGAAGGGTGACACAGGACGCGATGGAATCTACGGAGAAGATGGAATGCCTGGTGAGAAGGGTGACCGTGGCTTCAACGGAGCACCTGGTGCGAAGGGCGATAAGGGCAATGCCGGACTGCCTGGTAATCCAGGAACGCCTGGACGCGATGGCCTGCCTGGACCACAGGGTAATCCCGGACCGATCGGCTATCCAGGTGCCAAGGGCATTAAGGGAGAGCGTGGCCCAGGAGGTGTTGATGGACTTAAGGGCGCAATGGGTCTGCCGGGCCGTCCAGGCTATCAAGGAGCACCTGGCTTGAAGGGTGACAAGGGCGAAAAGGGTCTCAGAGGCCCAGCCGCTGAAGTTGATCTGTTTGCGTTGAGAGGAGAAAAGGGTGTACCCGGAAATCCAGGCTTGACTGGCTTACCCGGACTCCAAGGCATCAAGGGCAACCAAGGCCCAGCTGGCTACCCCGGCGAAAAAGGAGAGCGCGGCTTAACTGGACCAGCTGGCATTCCCGGCTTAGCTGGAGAGCCTGGACTTAAGGGCGATATGGGCTTGACTGGAGAACGCGGCTACCCAGGTCCTGTTGTCCGGGGAGAGAAGGGTCTGCCTGGCCGTGCTGGCAAAAATGGACGTACAGGTAAGAGCCAAATTGCAAAAAGCTGCGCACAAAGTGAAGCATGAATCAAACGCCATATTGCATTGCAGGCGCTCCTGGCTTGCCTGGCTTGAAGGGTGAGCGTGGCTTGGCTGGCTTGCCGGGTAATGCTGGTCTAGTCGGCTTGCCCGGTCCCATTGGTCCCATGGGCCCCAAGGGTGAACGTGGTTTGACTGGTCCTCCTGGCATTAACGGCATCGCTGGCATGAATGGGGAGGCAGGCGAGAAGGGTGACGTTGGCTATCCTGGCTTGAAGGGTGATCGCGGCTATCCTGGCCTGGAAGGCCAAAAGGGTGACAAGGGTAATACAGGACCTGCCGGTCCTCCGGGTCTCAGCGGTCTAGCTGGTCTTAAGGGCGATATTGGCGCACCTGGTTTGGCGGGCCATCCGGGTCCAGTTGGTGCACCAGGCGAGAAAGGATTCACCGGTCCAAAGGGTCGTGATGGTCGCGATGGCCTGCCCGGTCTGCGCGGCGAAAAGGGCGAGCCCGGCATGGTGCCTCCACCCGGCCCCAAGGGCGAGCCTGGTCATCCCGGACGTGATGGAGAAAAGGGCGATCGTGGACCTCCAGGTGAACGCGGTCTAATTGGCATGCAGGGCGAGCGTGGCGAGAAGGGCGAACGCGGCTTAATTGGCTTAACTGGTCCCGTTGGCCGACCCGGCCTCAAGGGCGAGCGCGGCGAACAAGGCTTGATTGGACGAGAGGGTGAAATCGGTCCCATTGGCTTCAAGGGTGAGCCCGGTCTGCCCTGCACTGGAGCTCAGGATTATCTCACTGGCATACTACTAACGCGCCACAGCCAAAACGACCAGGTGCCACAGTGCGCACCCGGACAAGTTGAACTCTGGACGGGCTACTCGCTGCTTTTTGTAGATGGCAATGACTTTGCCCACAACCAAGACCTGGGCTCTCCCGGCTCCTGCGTGCCACGCTTTTCCACACTGCCCGTAATGTCCTGTGGACAGAACAACGTTTGCAACTATGCCTCGCGCAACGATAAGAGCTTCTGGCTGTCCACCTCAGCGCCCATACCGATGATGCCCGTCAATAGCCAAGAGATTAGCAAATACATTTCAAGATGCGTCGTCTGTGAGGCACCGGCGAATGTTATTGCTGTTCACAGCCAGTCGCTGGCGATACCCAACTGCCCCAACGGCTGGGAAGGACTATGGATTGGCTACAGTTTCCTCATGGTAAGTCGGCACTACTTATGAAACTAGCTCATATCTGACTGATCTATCCTTCAAATGCTCTAGCACACGGCTGTGGGCAATGGAGGCGGTGGTCAGGCTCTGCAATCGCCTGGCTCCTGCTTGGAGGACTTCCGTGCCACGCCGTTCATTGAATGTAACGGAGCTAAGGGACACTGCCATTTCTACGAGACAATGACCAGCTTCTGGATGGTTACCCTAGAGGATAACGATCAGTTCCAGAGACCCGAACAGCAAACAATCAAAGCAGGCAATTTGCTCTCACGTGTATCCAGGTGTCAAGTCTGTGTGAAGAACTCGTCATAAAGCGCACACCAATAATTTTAATCTAAATGTAATGCCTTAACTATACCAACGAACAAAAAACAACAAACAAACAAACACACACATACACACACACACACACACACACACACACACACACACGCACACTAGAACCAACACTGCTACCAAATTCCTTAAAAACAAACAACTAACCAAATACATACAAAAAGTACCCAAAGAAGAAATATATATATAAATATATGTATGTGTAGGTCCACTCCAATTAGGGTGGAGCGCGTTTGCCATTTTTTGTATCTGCCATTTTTAAAGAAAAAGAAAAACAAATGAAATACCAATGTAAACTGCTTCTTAGTTACGAGTAAGTTAAGTAAATCAACAACAACAAATAAACTAGCCTGGTAATATGTAAAACAAGAAAACATCGAATATATCGAATAATACAGCCAAGTTGTTTCCTTTATCTGTCTGTATCTTCCCTGTGTTTGAGATGTGAAGGAATTGCTCGAATTAATACACTAAATTGACTCTGAATCAAATTTTGCCTAGAGCCTGAAGCAAAACACTAATTCAAACAAACAAAAAATGCGTAAAATAAAGAAAAACATTTTTCCGAATTTTTCCAAATTCCATTTTATTTATCACTTATACATCTTAAAAATATAATTTATTCTCTACATTACACATATATTTATTTCTCTGTTGCAGTAAAACAATCTATCTTCCACTCCTCTTTCTACTCTTTCAGGCCGTCCTCCTTCTTCTCTCTTCTTCCAGTACGCCCTCTATCTCTATTACGTCCACTCTTTCTCTTCCTTCCACTCCTCTTTCTGTTTACACTACTCTTCCCAGTTGACGACTAGTGTTAATGCTACGAAAAAGTAGAAGTTGTAGTGATATAGTACTTTTTATCAATCAATCAATCATTCAATCAATCAATCATTCAGTCAGTCAGTCAATAAGTTAATTAAATCATCATTCAATCAGTCAATCGATTTAACATTTAGTCTACGTAGGTCAATCAATCATTTAGTCAGTAAATCAATCAATCAATCAATCAAACAACCAATCGTTCAGTCAATCATTTAGTCCACGTCGGTCAATAAATCATTTAGTCAGTAAATCAATCAATCAACTAATCAATCATTCAATCAATCAGTTAATTAAATCGTCATTCAATCATTCAATCAGTCAATCAATATATCATTTAGTCCACGTAGGTCAATTAATCATTTAGTCAGTAAATCAATCAATCAACTAATCAATCATTCAATCAATCAGTTAATTAAACCGTCATTCAACCGTAGGTCAATCAATCATTTAGTCAGTAAATCAATCAATCAATCAATCAACCAACCAATCGTTCAGTCAATCATTTAGTCCACGTCGGTCAATCAATCATTTAGTCAGTAAATCAATCAATCAACTAATCAATCATTCAATCAATCAGTTAAACCGTCATTCAATCATTCAATCAGTCAATCGATGTATAATTTAGTCCACGTCGGCCAATCAATCATTTAGTCAGTAAATCAATCAATCAACTATTCAATCATTCAATCAATCATTCAATCAATCAGTTAATTAGATCGTCATTCAATCAGTCGATCAATGTATCATTTAGTTCACGTCGGTCAATCAATCATTCAAGCATTCAGTCAATCAGTCTTAATCTCATATGCAAATTGATGATATTTTCGATATTCAAAGTTAATCTACATATCAATGAGCTAGGGGATGATTTACATCACCTGATAATGGAGCTTCGTGAGGATGGGGTGGGTTTGTGGTTAAAAAAAAGCAGACAAAGAGAACGTTTTGAAGACGCGATGTTCGATGAAAACTCACCACTTGGTCTTGCGACTCGGGCACAAGTGCGCATGTCGAGGTCTTCATAGCTGAAACAGGGTTGGGGCTCTGCCCATGGGGGGGTGGGTTTGCCCGATAACAGTTACACGGGCGCAGCGGCAGAGGGTGGTGCGCGTTGCCATATGATAATGATATGCCTGCACACACACACACATGCCATAACAATGAGCCGCAAGTAGACGGCTAACAGACGGCTAATACGACTAAGAGATACCCTAAGTTTTAATTAATTATTTAAAGAGATGACATAGATATAGAAAAAGATATATGAGGAAGATGCAATGATCTTATAAATATAAAAATTAATATTGAATTTAAAATATACATAATATATATGTGTATTAGAAAAGAGGTCACGTACCTGATATATACAAAAAAAAACCTTTACTTTTCAGCTCAGCATCTGAGCATTGGATCACAAAAATATGAACTAATTTTTTTAATTAACTCTTAACTTTTTTAATTAACGCTAACGCTAATTCAGGAGTCTCAAAGTCGATTGAAGTTGATATAAAGAAAAGTTCTTAACATAAACTTAAGGTCTCTTACTGTACTCAACTGCATCGCCAGCTGCCTCTAGTCGCCTGTTACATAAATATGCCCCAATCATGCTACCCTGCATGCTCTGCGAAATTCCAATTGGTGGTGGAAAAAAAGTAGGAAGCAAAGCATGTAGAAACGTTCCAGCTGTGTGAAAATAGGGGTAGCTTTTACAAATTCGAATTGGAAAATCGAGCAGAACAGCAAAAGACCTCAGCGAGCGCGGTTGGGCATTACAGCAAAACAGCTGGAGAAGGATAAAGGAAGAAGAAGGAACAAAGAAGAGGATAAAACAGTAACTAAAATGTAAGACAAGTGATAAAAGTTAGGAAAGCGCTAAAAGTGAAGTTCCAATTGGAGCAGAAGCAAGTCACACAGAGAGCGCGAGCGAAGCCCCACATCAAAATCTAGTAGCTCCTGCAGTGAGTGTGAGAGAGAGAGAGATAGAGGCAGACAACCCCCCAAAAACTTCAGCCTATATGATTATCGTTTTGCTATTGCTCTTCCAATCGCTGTGCCTCTTTTGCCAACGTTTGGTGCTCCGCATTCACGACCGATGCTTTCCCAGAAACGTCCGTGTGCTCCAGGAGTTGGCCGAAACGGTGGGCGATCGTAAGGCACTGCAGCACCTCGAAAACCAGGAGCTGGAGCAAACGAAGCGAAAGCAGAAACGTCGCCTTTTGGAGCCGATTTTGCCACTCGGAGCTGGGCTCAATCTGGAAGCTTGTCGCTTCTGTGCCCACAGTCCGCAGGGCTACTGTCGACATCATTTCCATTTGCAGCTGCACACACAGCGGCGTGGCGACGAGCAGGATTACAAGCAGCAGAGACGGATACGTAGGGAGCTGAAGCGTAGTCTGGAGCCAAGGAGCACTTATCCCATTAACTATAGGCAATATAGTCGAGGTAGCAGCAGCTCCCTGAGCAGTGGCTACGGCTCATTGGCATCCAATTTGCAAGACAGCTGCCTGCAGGAGGAGCAAGGGGAGCGGGAGCAGCTAGAGGAGGAGCGTCAGGAACTTCAGATCGAGCAGGAGCAGGAAGCCATAGATCACTTGATAACTAGTCATCTCTAGAGCAGATCCAACTCGGACTAGAAACAAGCAACGACAAGGCAAAGAGGAGCATGCGGTAAAGGAGTAGGATAAGTGGCAATCGACGGAGTTGACTAATCACTTGAGCGAGGTAACCCTCTGCAACACGAATAAGGAGGAGCAGGAGCATCTCAACCGGACAGACGTTTAGCTAAGAGGACTTCCTTTCGACACCTGCTTGCTCTAGAGGAAAAGCAGCAGCACTTGAGAAGGGTCCTCCCTCGCCTTTTCACGTAACTAAAGACACAGCCTTAGCTGATGGCCACTCAGACTTAACCTGCCTTGTCCCGAAGGAGAAACCCCTTGAGCTAACTAAGGGCAGGTGTAGAAGGCGCCGGCTCACTTGATAGGCCACTTGATAAGGGCTTTCCTCATAATCAAGTAGGCTGTGTCTCGAGGTACATTGTTTACAAATTTTCTGTGAATGTGCTTTTGTTTGTCAATATTGGCGCCCCGCTACAAGATTGATTATAAAAATTATTTTAAAAATGTCGGATTTGGAATGGGAACAACAACAATTGCAGATGCGGCAGCCAGTGGCACGTCGGCGACCGCACCATCAGCGCCACCAGCAGCAGCGCTGTGAGCTTCAGATACAGGACAAGAGCTTGTCGCCGAGATCGTTAACGGAGCTTTGGTCCGGTCCCCTGGGACATGGCACCGATGACAATTGGACTTGGAGCAAGCGAAATCGATCCAAGGAGGTGGTCCTCAGCGGCCCCAACTTTCGCACAGTTCACTTCCATCCCAATTGGAGCAAAGGCACGGCTGGCATTCAGGGCAAGCGTCCCTTGAATAACGGACGCCACTATTGGGAGCTGCACGTCTCGCAACGTGTCTTCGGCACTTCGATCATGTTCGGCATCGGCACGAAGTCCTGTCGCCTGCACGCCAACGCCTTTCGCAATATGCTCGGCGAGAACGAGCACGGCTGGGGACTGTCCCACAAGGGTGAGTGCTCACTGTACGAAAATTATCATATATGTATACTGAAACTCGTTCAACTGTTTCTCTTGAAGGCGTTCTATGGCACAAGGGCGTGGCACTTCTATATACTAAGCGCTTCCGCGAGAATCATCCCACACAAATCGGCATACTCTTCGATGGCATCGAGGGCACCTTAACCTACTATAAGGATGGCAGGTGCCTGGGTGTGGCGTTTAGAGGCTTAGACAAGGTGAGCTCCATACGATCAGTTTACTTGAAATGGCATTTATAGGACAGTCTAGAATAGTCCTTTTTTATTAAGGATATTTTTCTAAAAATGTCCCCAAATACTTTCCAAACAATTGTCCACTGCATAGAAATAATTCCTTTCTTTATCTTTACATTTTCCTTCAAGTTCCTATTATTTTATTCAAGTCTAACACTTCACAACTTATAAAATATCCCAATGAGTTTTTAAACAGGATAATTTTGTCTAGAATTCGCCTAAACAAAAAACAAACAAAAAATCTATAGTGTATAAGCTATATAAAAAGGTTTAGATATTCCCTATATTTTTAATGTTAAATAGAATAATATTTCCCCTTTAAATGCTCACAAATTCACACTAAATTAAATTTCTTTTATATATTAAAAAAGCAAATATAACTTTATACACCCATTCGGGATATTCACTCTACCTTTTTACAATGTTCTCCGTATAGCTAAGACAACATATTTATACAGGGAATATCTTTCAATTTCCCTTAAAATCAATCCCAAATTTTATTTTTCCCAACTAAAAAAGGTACAATCAATTAGCCTGAAATATATTCTACTTTGTGCTCTACAAGGGCTCTACCGATGCAATTCTGCTGTTGCCACTGATTAAACTTTTCCATATGTATTTTTATTTCGCGCCAGGTAACTGATCTACTTTATCCCATCGTCTGCTCCACGGCTGCCAAAACGGAGATGACTCTTAGATGCGCTCGCCAGGAGTTTGTCAACCTGCAGGATCGTTGTCGTGCGGTGATCATGCGACGTCTACACACAACTGGCGATGTGAAGAAGCTGAAGCTGCCACAGTCCATCAGCGATTACCTGAGCGAGGTGATTGACGATATGGAGCCATTGCGTCAGGTAGACAACTATGATATATTATGTGCTTTCTAGGAGCTCGATAATAATTGGCCAGGTCCTGGTCTACCTTAGTCTAAATATCTATAAGCTCTGTTTCATAGGTGAATGAGAAGGAGATGTGCATGATCAAGTATGATTTGCAAATTTAGAATGAAGTGTGGAGTGTGGAGTGTGGAGTGTGAAGCGTTAAGCATGAACAGTGATGATGCCCGTGTAAGTCGAGTATAGTGCCATAATTTGAGGGCTCACTGTACAATTGTACAACATGTAGAACATTGCGGTCAACTGCAAGTTGTTTCTACACGTAAATCTCAAGTTTTTAAAGTCAGCTAATTATTTGACATTTATTTTACATATATTTATATATATATTTGCATATGTATATATATATATGTATTTATAATAATATTAGTAATTATAATGTATGTATATTATATATTTTCGATTACTTTGTTTATGTTTTGTTTTCTGCTTTGTTTTGTTCTTTCCTAGCTAAAATGTTTCCCAATAAATAGGCCAATTAGGTGCAATATTTGTGATATAAGACAAAGGGCAGCAAGAAACCAAAATAAATCAATTTTATGCATAATTATGTAGCCTATATATCATAAGTTTCGATCTAAGTCAGCTCTGTAAGTTATATATAAGTTTAACAAAAAATTAATTGTATTTTTTACTACGAGTGTGAAATCTAGTCAATGAGAGCGAAAGCTGCACCCGAAATATAATGTATAAATTGTCAGCTAACTAATATTATAAAAATGTAATTATTGAAGTAATGTATGATTAAGTAATTAAATATAAAAAACAATTCAGTTGCAAACAGTTTTACAAATTCTAGTCCAAATGTGCAAAAACCAAAACGAGCTACTGCAAAAGTTCATTTAACAAGATAAATAGAGATATCTAGATATATATATCTAGACATATATATATATACCACTTAAGTGCGTAAATATGGAAATATGTATAAATACAATATATTTATAGAATTTTAAGAGCTTAGGTACTTAAACACAACACAGACAAATAATTTAGTAAAAATTATTTTTATGTATTTTCATATTTGTAGCTTCTCCATACAATATATATATTTTTTTGGTGTCTAATAAATTACTACGATCGTGTGTAAAGTAAATTGAAAACTGTTAAATACAAGGGTATATGTATATCTGCATTATATATGTCACATGAATTAGTACATCAATTTAAATTTAACTAACTAAATGAATAAAATACAAAGATACTAAGCACAGATATTTCTCTAGTTAAATTCGTAAGATAAACTTCTTTTTTTACAGTTCATCACTCAGATGATGTATATTCTGTAGGTGATCGCCGTAATCGGTGGCCTCGCTGCCAACGAATGTGTCATAGTTATTAAGAATTTCCAGATAGGACAAACGATCATCGTGATCCTCATCGGTGGAGACAAACAAATGGTCAACCTCATCATCCGCTATGGCCGTGTTGCTGGGCGTAATCCATGAGATCACCTAAAAACAGTTAAGCAGAGCATTAAAGACTAGACTACCATAGGTAATTGAAGTGGGCCCAACTAGTAAGTGAGCTGCGGATTATATTGTACTGTATACTATATGCCTATATATCCACAGTTCAAAATGCAACTGATTCATTTCATATCAAAGAAAGTACGACAAAAACTATATATGCTCTCTATATAGCATATCGGGTAAAAAAGATATTGTTGACTGCATTGAATCGTTCTTTATATCCATCATGGAGACCTACGCTTTATATCCATTATGGAACCCTAAGCAAAGTACACAAAATTCGTTCAATGCGGCTACAAAAATAGATTAAGGATCTCTACCTCTACTCTACACACATATATAGCTATATGTATCTATCAAATAGTGGCTCTGTCCAGCTTTATCTATGTCTATCAATTATCTCTTATCAATTATCACCTCATTGCCAGTCAAAAGTCCATCGCCATTCGTATCGTAGTCCTTATCGAATCGTTCCTTCTCCGTTATTAGCCACTCCTTGTCGTGATGCGTGGCTGCTTGGCCGACGAACTCTTGGAAATCGATTTTGCCATCATGGTTCTGATCCTTATCCTGCATTGTATGCTCCAACAGTACGGGCAACATTTGTGGATGCTCTTCAGGATTTTGGAAGAGCACATATTCCTCCTGATTCAGTACACCATCCTTGTTTGTGTCGGCTGCGTGAAACATTTCCTTATCTTGCTTGATCATCTTTTGCTCCTCCTCGTAGCTATCGAAATCAATTAACTCCTTCTTAAAGTTCTCATCCTCCATGGAATAGGTGTCCTGCAAATATTCCTTCCATGTAATTTTATCATCCACATCTTGATCGATTTCCTCAAATCGATCCGCCGCTTCCTCTTCTGACAGTTTCCTGTGCAATAAATTTTAAAATAATATATTTTTATATAGAAATCAAATATGGATATTAGACAATTACTTAGGATACATTTTCGTTTTACATAGATCATGCTTAGGCTTTAGCTTTTGGTTAGCTTTTTAGCGTTTGGTTAATCAACGAACAACACTCACTTAAAGGACCTTAATATCCATGCTTTTAATTCGTGTCGATCGATAAATTTGTCACTATTCAAGTCCATCATCTCGATGAGGATCGCCAAACGTCGCTTCGATTCTTCCGGCGAGAGGGTATCAAATTCTTGAGCGTCTTTTGTATTGCCTGCAAACATAAAGATATGAAATGTTTATATGTATATAACAGTCTAATTAATTCACAAAAAAAACATAAAACGTGCGCACGCAAAAAATCCCAAATATTAAAATAAAACATGAAAAAGTGCTCTAGTCGGGCTTGCGCGAATATGAAATACCCTGATCAAGAATATATATATATATATATATTACTGGGGTCTGCCACGTCTCCTTCTACCTACATATATTATCACAAACCCGATATACTCTGTATTCAAATTTTCAATGGGTGAGGGTATATAAATAAATATGCCAAACTGTTTCTGGATTCTTAATGTAGTGTGAAGCCAACTCTTAATGACCTATGGAGAATGTGTTCACAACGGAGCCACGCTGCACCCAGGCGAAACCTCTGACCTCTGAAACAATGGGGCTATCGAGTAGATACGCCTCGGAACTACACTTAATGCCTAAGCTACCTCTTTCTAATGGGTACAGGGTACAAGCATATTAAACATATTAACATAACATCATTTATGCAGAGATATATAAAGTTCGCTCGACTGGGAGCTACCTTTCTGTACAATCTTGCAATAGTTACAGGGTATATACATATTAAAAATAGAGACTCATATACATAAAACCCACAGAGTAATTTGGGGTTACCATCCTGTCCGTTACATACATGTGCGAAACATAATTATTTCTAGATTATCATACCTCACTGTACGCACTTTCTAATGCCTACAGGGTATTCAAATACACTTCATATAAACAACTGTTGTGTGCTAGCTATAAACAAAACGTTAGTCAGCATTGGTGTTTTTGTGCGTTTACCCACCTATGATAGCCTCATGATCAAACTCCACATTGTGCTCGCCTAGATCGTTATGATGATGTCCATCCCTTGGCACATAGCTCCCATCCTTTACCCGTTCCTTGCTCAGATGCTTCTCATGCTTGTGTGTGTTGGCAACGGCGCCGTTGGCGGGCATCGGTCCAACTAAAGCCAAAGCTCCAATGATGCACAGCAGCATTGGCCAAATTGTTAAACGAGACATTATGTTTTGATATGCCCTACTCGCATACACATACACACACACACGAATACGATGGGGCGGGCAGCTACGACGATTTGTTTATATGACACTAGAAAGATGGATCCTCCGTCTGTTGTTTCTTGCTCGCTCGCCAGACGCACACTGAGAGTTTATTTGTTTGTCTGTTTGCTCTTGGAGGCTGGGAGCATTACACGCACACGCACACACACATACACAGCTCAGAGACACATACACATTCTGGCAGCTGCTTTTGCTTTTGCTTTGTATAGCACTTGAGTCTTTAAGCAATCGCCGACTCACGTAATGGCCAAAAATCAATTCTATGAACTCTAATGAACCCGGTCAATGGGATTTGCGTAACCTGAAATGCACATAGTTATACAGAAACATATACCATTTATACACTACAAACAATTTTCTTTCCTTGCTTACCAGCTGTTTGTTTAATACTTTTCAATTAAATGTGCTGCGCTTTTCTTACTTACATACTTAATTTAATTCTGCATTAACTTTATGCACTTTGCATATTGACTTTAACTTATAGTAATTACAAATAATTTTAAAGAAACAATATTTACGTTTGCCAGAACACAATCGAAATCAATCAAAGCATCCTAGCTGCGGTTATTGCATAGGGAATGTTATCGATATATCGCTACAGCTGTTATTGGCGATAACAGCTATTGTATATCGGTGGTACTGCGCATCACTAGCAATTGTTGCAAAATATATTTTTTTTGCCAACTTTGATCTTATTGCAAAACTAAACATTAATTAAACATAAAATCAAATAAAAATTAAAGTGCTAAACTTTCGCGCAGACAGTTTAACAAATACTGCACACATAGAGTTTCATGCATATGAGGTGAGTTGGCTAAACTATATAGGTCGGATAAAAAAGGCGCAACTGAATGAGTGAGAAACTGGAAACAAAAGTTCATTAAATAAATTCAAATGACATCATTGACAGCACACAATTTGTTGTGTTCGAGCGCCTCCTAACAACAGTTATGTTTATGACTCTTAGGTATATATTTAAAAAAATTTCGCGTGTGTGAGAGCGGGAAACACGCAAAAGGACAGAAGTTTTAGGCAATTGAAAGGGTGTGATTGCAATTGTATGAGGTTGATGGATATTTTTTATGGTGTAATTAGGAATCAGGCTTTGGCGTAGGAGTTGTTGACCGGCACTATTTTTGGTTGACGACCAAATATATACATATACAGTGCCTTTGCTAGCGTAATTATAGCTCATGAAGTTATGAATTGCCAAACATGCAACTGGTCAGTAATTGTATATGCATGTGCCTGTGTGTGTGTTTGTAGACTTTTATCCTTATTCTCTCTCTTCAGATTAGAGATGGGAAAATATTGAAATTCATTGATACAAGAATTATTGCAATTATCCTCAATCAGTCATATAAAATGAGACTATATGAAAGTATGATATACATAATATAAGTGACCAAGTTTTTCTCATTTAAAAAAATAATAATAATAATAAAACAAAATTATCGAGTAGTTTTTTGCTTGGCCTTCATTTATTATAGATCCCCGTTTGGTATTAAAATGTTAACAAAAGAATTAAGCACAGCTCTAATAATAAACTATATACGTGCGTGTTCACGACACGCACTCAGCTCGAGTGGAGAGTTTTTATCTATCAGTACCTCATTGCTTACACTTATGTGAGTTAATCCAATATAGTTTGGCTAGACATTGCAGATAAAGAGAGTGTGCTTGAGAGCGCAAGAGCAACGCAACGGCAGACACATTAATAACAAACAAAAGCAAACAAACAAACAACAACATCAAAAAAACTACTTCAGTACGGAAAAACCTGAAAGCTTGCAAACAAAATTTAGTCGTAAGCCAACCTTCGGTCCGCATAGCAGTTAGCTTTCGTCGTGCAGCAATAATTATTTGATTTTTGTTGTTATCCAGTTTGAACCGGTTTACAACGAAACGCCCCACCCGCGCTAATTAATAGCTACCAAAAATCCGTTGAAAAAAATATACCAAATGCCGTACATTATCATACGCGGTAATCTAGCCTCCTATAGTCACAAATATCCATGGCGTGTGCTCGTCTCTGGACTGAAAGGTAAATCAACAGTATAGACTGTCCTCACACTCTCTGTCGCACTCTCTCCACTCTTCTCATTTCGCAGTTAGTTTTTATTAGATTTTAATAGTTGATTTCTTATATTCGTTGCCAGCCAATATTTGTGGCCAACTTAATTTGCTGAATTGCGTCTTCATTATTTTTTTTTCTCGTTCTGTCTTATTGCGCGACACAAATTATACGAAGTGTGCTTCGTCACGTTCACACACACACACAGGCTCTTGTGCACAAATTCACGCCCACAAGTCTGGTTTAGTTTTTTTCTTTTGTATTCGGTTATTCCACTTTACACTACCAACTAATTTTTGAATGAGCTCGTCCTTGAGCGTCTGTGTGTGCTTATATATCTGCCCGTGTCTGTGCGTGTGCAGCCCATCTTTACAGTGGCATCCTCAAACAATAGTGCTTGCTACACATTTTCTTATCACTTTGAATGATGTATTTCTTTGCTTTCGCTTTTCAACGTACAATGTTTATTTTTGCCTGAGTGTATTGAACGGATTTATGGCCTTGTAAATAAAACATAACTGCATTAGTCTTAAACTCTACAACCAGCACAAAATGAATTTCATTTTATAATTTTGCTTACTCACTTTTGTATGTACTCTGTGAATTATGAATAGCTGAGAAAGGGTATACATGTTTCTTTAAAGAAGTATCTAGCTAGCAGGGTTTCAATTTCATGGGGCTCTAATTTAATATTCACATTGCTTAAAATTTATGCTTTAAATATGCTAAATTCTAAAGCTTTTTTTGTTAGCAATTCAAACGAAAACAAGTTTAACGCCGTTCGAACATGAAGTCATAGTTAGAGTATTCGAGAATTGGCATGAGCTATTAGTACAAAGTTTGCTCACCACTCTCTTGCTCTCCACTCTCTTTTGCACTCTGCCACTCGTTGGCCGCTCTCCATTAATTGTAATATCTGTCGCACACTCGAGCCGTCAGTTTCGTTTTGTTTCGCACTGAGTGCAGTTGAATTACGCCTTGCATGGTGAGCCAAGCACAAACACACACATAAGCACGCAGATATATATACTTTAATAGAGTTTATATTTAAAAAGTATTTATTTTGGAAAAGTCAATGCACTTTTCGGCTTTTCTTTAAAAATACTGTTACATGCTAGAGTTGAGTTTAAAAAAACGACACCTTTTTGATTGCAACATAGTTTTTTCTTAATTAGCACTCACACAGGCACGCACACACACACAGAAAGTGGAGGCCAGTTGCTGACGTCATGCTGCTGGCGCTTAAAGCATTTTTTATTATTGTTATTATCTTTGTTCAGCGCTTTTCATATTGCCTTACTGTATAAACACCCCAAATTAAACAGTTTTAAGATATATATATACTCGTAGTAGATATATACATATATATACAACATTTTGATAAGCTTCGACTTTCTCAGCTGACGACATCGAACAGTTAAACAAGTTCTCCTGCGGCGGCTACAGCGATGAGTCCACAATCGTTTATCTAGTCCATCCGTGTCGCATATTATCAGCTTTAGAGGTACGGTAAACACACGTTACAGTGAAAGCTCGGCTCTAGTTGGTTAGGAAAAGTTGGTTAGAAAAAGAAAAATGAAAAAAAAACATATAAAACAAATCCTCTTTGTTTTAGAATCATTCTTAATATTTTTTAAGCAATCAAAATTATATATTGCAAAAATTAAATTCTCAAAATTATTTAACTCGTAAAACAAAAATATTTTTTAAATTTAAACTATTTTACCAAAATTTAATTCGATTTTAAATTTTATTTTCGAGCTTTTATAAATTTACTATAAAAAAAGTAATTTTCTCCATTAATCAAACTGTTTGCTAGTTAGAGCTTTCACTGTGGCATTTTTGGCTTTTAAATTGAAAAAAAAAGAACAAAATTTTGTGTTGCAGATTTTGGGTTTTCGCGTTGTCGCCAGTTCATCGACAGCCGTTAAGCAGGACTATAATGAATATATGTGGACGATGCGCAAGGAGTTCGTCGAGCCCGAGCCTGAATCCGAAACCGTGTCTGTAGTCCGCGAGAATCTATCCAATATAGGCAGAGAGGCGGCCAGTTTAGGCAATTATCATAAAGTTGATTCCCCAGAGTAAACCGAAACTCTCTCCCCTCTGTGTGTGCATGTGTGTGTAAGTGCGAGTGTACGCGTGTATGTGTGTGTGTGTGTGTAAAAACTATAGCAACCTGAAAAAAAAACAAAAACACATTTTTTGACAGCCTATCCAATAGATATATATATATATATTTAAAAGCAAAGTATGACCGATAATCAGGCGGGGCCAGTGGCAAAGGAATCGACTACCCACAGCGAAAACCCACAGCCGGTGCCATCGACAACATCCACTAGTGCTGTACCACCTGGTTGCCCGGCCAATGTTGTGACCATACCCGTGCCCATTCTACAATCGGAGGGCAATTTCGCTTACGTCACCGTGAAGGGCTCGCTGCATGATTACACCTGTACCGTATTTGGCTTGAATCAGGCTGAGGTGCAAGCCTTGTCGAATCGTTTATCCGTTAAGCCTTGCGTCAATGGAGTCCTAGTCGCTGTACCGCCAATGGTTATGCTAAATACCCTAGCACAACTCAGCTATAAGGTAGTTTGTAGCTGCGGCGAAGCGGAAATCTGTTGGACAATGCAGCGCGAGGTTTAACGAAGTTGCAAAGTTTGATTCGAAACGCAAAAACTTCAGTCAATCATCAATCATTCAAATCAAATCATCAAATCATCTTTATCAAATCAATAAATATGGATCAGCATAGCGCAGACAACTGCAAGTGCCACAAGCACACGCAGCCGGCACAGCAGACGCTCAGCGATATGGATTTCGATCGGGGCATTTGGAATGCAGGTGAGTCAAAAGGAAACTTTCCACTTCTCAAGTATATATAACATTCAGACATGGAATGTATGATTCGACAAAGAATGCGGAGAGTAAAATAAAAATATATATAACTTAGTTATAAGTCAAGGAGTGCCTGGTTTTCTATATTCTGAATCATGTATTGCCTAGCCAAATATAGACCAAGCAGAGATCATAAGTTAGGATCTAAGTATATAACTTATGACAATTGGTTTCCAAGTGTTACGCACCGACTTCGTTATGAATCACATGAAACACTTATGAAAACATAAGTGAATACCCTCGCATGAGAGGGTATTATAATGTAGTCCCTCTGTATGTAACCCGTTACAGTAGATGTCATGCAGTATTAGCCTCTAGCTGATGCTTCTGTCGCCTGCCTAACTTGTCTCTTGCTCAAGTAAAATGAAAGTTTTCATTACGTACGATTCTTGCATAGATGAAGCCTGGCGCCCTGGAGTCATCTACTGTCGTATGTCCGTTATCTTATCAATATTTGACTACTCTATCGTTATATTTATCATTAAAACGATCGATCAAATATTACTGTCTTCGATAAACATTTACATTGCTTTGTTTTATAGACCCATATATCTTGACCGAGACTCTTGATTTATATATTTATTGTGCCTCTGTTAACATTCTGTCCCTATTAAAATCTTTTTTTTTTTTTTTTTTTTTTTTTTTTTTTTTTTTTTTCTTTATTTTGTTGCAGCTTATTGTCTTAGACTCTATAGCGCATTTAGCTCTAAACCTTAACTAATGGGAGGGCAGATATGCCAATTATTCTGCACTTGTAGCTACTATCTTAATTAGTTCTTATATTGTCTAGAGGATGCAATCTCTTCAGTCTTCGCCTATTGTTGTTTATAGCCAGGTTGCTTGCGAGATGGTTAGGATGCGCTGCAAGTCTGTCCGCGTATCTTGAACTGTGTCGCCCAATGAGTTCAGCAACTGTGGGAATTGCTAAATCCCTATGTAAGACTGAGTTTCTTACAAACCAGCTGGCTCCAGTCCATCTGCGTAGTGCTTTATTCTGCAGGGTCTGAATTTTGTTCCTTGTAGTCTTCGCCGAGGAGCCCCATAGAGAGATACCATATACGAAGGTTGGGACAACTATTGCCTTGTAGATGGCGGCCTTGCTGCTGTAAGACAACTTGCTTGAAGCTCTCAGCATCCAGTCGAGGGTTTTTAGCTTGCTTTTGCATTTTGAGGTTACTTGACTTATGTGCGCTTTAAAAGTCAGCCTTCTGTCAAGAGTGATACCAAGGTACTTTACTTTTGAGGCTTTGGGAATAGTGGGCCCCAATGCAACGCTTGGGCAATCTCCTCTTCTAGTGGCGAAGGTAGTATGTACAGACTTTTGTGCATTAATGGTGATACACCACCGTTTTGCCCAGCGTCCGAAAGAGTCCAGATATTTTTGTAGTGAGTCTGAAGCTTCTTGCGCAGATACGTGACGTGATAAGATGGCGGTGTCATCTGCATAGGTCGCTATGAGTACTGCATCTGTACTTCCTATATTTGGCTCGGGAGTTGGCATATCTCCTGTGAATAAAGTATAAAGTGTTGGGCCTAGAACACTACCCTGTGGTACTCCAGCCATAATTGGTCTAGTCAAGGATACTGCTTGCCCCCTTGACACTTGGAAGGTTCTTCCAATAAGGTATGAGGATAGCAACGCGAAAAATGGGGCTGGAAGGGTGGTCCTCACTTTCTGCAGCAGTCCCAGGTGCCAAACTCGATCAAACGCCTGTTTGATGTCTAAAAAGACGGCAGAGCAGTACATCTTTTCTTCAAAGGCTCCAAGGATATGGTGCACAACTCTGTGAACCTGTTCCGGTGTTCCATGCTGTCTCCTGAAGCCAAACTGATGGTTTGGAATGGCCTCCTGGCGTCCCAGATGTGTCAGTACTCGTTCCAGAAATATTCTTTCGAATATTTTGGAGAGTACTGGCAACAGGCTAATTGGTCTGTACGACTCAATTTCTCCCACGGGTTTGCCAGGCTTAGGAATCATCACAATCACGGCGCGCTTCCAGCAGGCTGGAAAGTGCCGGATGCGGAGCATGGCGTTGTACACCATAGTTATGTAGTCTATGGTGGAGTCAGGCAGTGCTCTAAGGACTCTGCCGTTTATTAGATCATATCCAGGGGATTTTTTTGCCTTCACTCTTCTGATGTGTTCAAGAACCTCTTCTTTTGTACATCCAGTTATCTGGTCTTCAGCTGGGAGGGGCGAGAGAACGATGTCTTCTGTTGCTTCGATTTCTGAGGCCTCTGCGGTAATCACCGGCGTGAATTGGTCTTGAAGGTGGTTTGCAAAAGCCTCAGCTTGAGCTTCGTCACCAATGTGCCAGGAACCAGAAATGCTCCGAATGGGATGTCGACGTATTGGCTGCCGTTTGAGCTTTCTTGTAAATTTCCATAATTGAAACTCTGCGTCAGTGGGCGATTCAGCTCGTACCAGCGCATCGCTGATACACCTCTTTTGAAGCAGGGCGAGAGCAGCTTTAAGATGCCTCGTGGCTTCGTTGTACGTGGATTTGGCATCAGGCGTGCGTAATCTTAACCAGCGTCTCCTGGCCCATCTTTTGTGTATTAGTAGGTGTTGGGCCTCCAAGGTGAGGGGGATGTTGTACGGAGACTGTTGTCTTGTTTGGCAAGATGGTGGGGCGGCTTGGTGCGCAGCTTTGACTATTTCTTCCTGCAGTTTGTTTGCTGCGTAGTCCACGTCTTCAGGAGTGTTAAGTTCCATTTCTATGTGCAAAGAGTAATGGAGCTCGCGCCTAAAGACTCCTAAATCTGATCCTGCTGGCAGTAGTTGTTTCCTAATGGGCAAGGGCTGTGGCTGCGCGTGGATTGTGACTATTAGTGGCAGGTGGTCAGAGGATAGGTCCAAGGATTCTTCAATGGTCAATTGCCGGTCACAGATGCCTTTGTAGACAGCGAAGTCGATTGCCGAGGGCCTGTGTCCATTAATTGGGTAACGGGTGGGGGCTCCAGTCGCCAATATGCTGAATTGTAAGTTTTGAATCGCCTCAAATATGACTTCTCCGCGACGATTCGCACTATTGCTTCCCCAAAATGGGTGCCATCCATTCCAGTCGCCGCCGATGAGGGTCTTATTCAACCTTTGGCCTAGAACCTGTTCCATGTGATGATCACACAGACCAGTGTTTGGCGGAAGATAAATTGACGCAACTTCGATCGCTCCAATAGACGTAGGCAGGGTGATGGCTGAGACCTGCATTGTTGCGTTGCAAATTGACAGTAAAGGTGTATGCGGTATTGTTGCTCGTATGAGGATTGAGGATCCACCAAAGCAGTTTGCTCCTTCACCATGAGCCTGATAGTGTTCGTATCCGAAAATTTGTGTAGTGGGGCACTCATGAGTTTCTGTTATTAACATTATATCTATGTTTTCTTGTGAGAGAAACGCAGCCAGTTCCTGAGTCTTGTTTCTCAGGCCATTGGCGTTCCAGATACCCACACGTAAAGCCATTATTTGTAGGCAAGCTTGGTTATGATGGCCATTAAACTGTTTAGCATGGTTGCTTGTTGGGATTGTACTTCTCGCATCGCTTTGAGCTCGGCATTAATTGCGTCAAACTGACGTTGTTGTTGCTGAAGCATTTCAGTGAACAAAGTGTCACTTGTGGTATTCTTATTTGACGGTCCACCTCTAGCGGCCTGTGCGTAAGAAACACCACTAATAGGCGTTGCAAAGCTCGTGGCTTGGGTAATGCTCCGGGGCCTTGTAATTTCGGAAGCAGTACTCGGACCCGTAGACGGTGTTTGTGTGGGACTCCTTTTTTGTGCTGGGGATTGCAATTTGCGCAACCGCTTGTATACTTGGCAGCCCTTATAGTTGGCTGGGTGCTGTAACTCACAGTGCACACAAGTTGGTGCCTGGTCCTTTTCGCGGGTGCAGTCTTTGGATGCGTGTTTCCCGGCGCAACGCACACACCTGGGAGCTTTGTGGCAGTAGCGTTGTGTGTGTCCAAATTCTTGACAGCGATGGCATTGTGTCAGGTCGTTGTATCTTCTTGGCAGTTCCACTGTGCAGCGTTGCCTGCAGACAACTCGAATGTCCAAAATTTCTTTGTTGTTGGGGGCCTGAGCCACGTCAACAAAAAATATATTTAGCGGTGTTTTGTCCATACGGCTCAGTGGGTTGTGCACATTTGTAATTGTGTGGCCTTTGGTTTCCAATTCCTTTTTAATTAGTGTTGTATCAGTGCTGGAGTGAAGCCCTTTGAACACGACTCTATATGGTTTGTCCTCCTTAAGCTGGTAGCAGTGGAACTCCAATTCCAGCTTAGTAAAGTGGTCTATAACTCTGCGATAGTCCTCACTGCATTGGGTTAATACACCTATGTTATTCTTCTTTGGCTTAATTACGTATGATTTAGCATCAATTACTTTATCTATTATCTGTTGAAGTAGGGCCACAGACTTGATGTTTGGACACCATATGGGGGGCGGACGAGGTTTCGGTGTAGTTTGCTGGTCGGTCAATACTGGGGCTTCTGGAGCTACAGGTGATTCGCTGTAGTCTTCATCTTCTTCTACGAGCAGTGAAAATCGATTTTCTGATATTAATGCTGCATTGCTGGTGCTTGGTTCGTCGAAGATGAGCCTTTTCTTGATGGTTTTTGGTGAATTTGGCTGTTTACGTTTCGTGTTTTTGTTGTTAGTGATGCCTTGCACGGAGGCGATATCTATTTTTGAGTTTATTGGCATGATGGAGGCTTGCCTATTTGCCATCACAACGTTAAGCTGGGCTTGCATTTCTGCATTTACCTTTACA